ATATTTTCCATATCCTCTTGCCTTGGGGAGGACACTTGCATGCCCTAATGAGGTTTCGAGCTTAGGGTCTTCCATATCATAAGATCTCAAGTGAAGGATTAAACAAAGTATATCCATGGATAAAATGTGCTTGCTAGCCTCCCGGCAACAACCATCTTGGAAGAAGGGCAACTCTAACTCCAAACTCAAGCAGGTGGAGCCTGTCAGGCCAACCACCTAAGAGAAGGATACTCTGACAACGTTCCGAAGACTTCATCATCATCGTTCTAGTTCGCTAGGCCTGGCAGATGAACCTTAGGTATGAAAGGTGGGGCGAGCTCCGCGCAAGGTGTGTCTCACCTATAAAATCCACTACGCAGGATGGAAGAATGCGCATTTGTAGCGTTTGCAGTAAGCGGGGGTAGAGCCCTTTCCAAGTGTTCGTTTGTAAAGCTTAAGCCGTGGTATACTTCCATATTCAGTATCATAGTCCTTTCATTTACATGATCCATGTAACATGTATATGCTTTTGTCGATCTCATCGAAAAATCCACATCGCCAACGAAAAACGCATTTAATCTTCATTTTATTTAAAAAGGAATAAGTTTTTGAAAAAGAAAAAACTGCTTCCGTTTTCGGTTATGGAAAAGAAGCTGATGGATAAAACATTCTCATTATTACTATATTGGATAGTATTTGCATCCTTCACATTCACTGATTTTTACGCCGAATGGATAATGAGAATCTTTCCCTTGTACTGGGTCATCAAGGTAGTGTGGCTTAATAACTCATCGCGTACACTGAAAGGACTTGAAACCGCCAGAAAGTTGCATAAAATTTAAAAGAGGGCAATCAATCGTTTGTTTTGACTTTCGAACACTGCTTAATTGATTATGGTAGGTTTCTTTTTTTATTGATGATTTATTTTCATGGCAGTGTAATTATGTTTTGCAGTGCATGTATTGCATGTATTTGTATTTGCCACAAACCGAAGGTATAAATATCATGGAGGAAAAGGTTGTTCTACCGGCATTGCAAAAATTTATTAAAAAGTAAACGGGAGAGGCTTCGTGAAGTACACTGCCGTAATCGTCGCGGCAACTGACTTCTATCAGTACTGTCGGCTTCAACTAAAAAATAAATAATCGATGATATAGTGATGAATGTCTTTATTTTTCATTATATTATGAATAAGTACTGATAAGTTAAAACTTAACATGATTCTGATCGAACTGGTTGTCATTTTTTGCCTGTCATAAAATAGATATATTCGCAAGCAATTCCCAATGAACACACCAACAAACTGCTTTACATCGTAAGCTGGGATGCAGTATACCAAGAAATCTCACTAATTCCAGGGTAACTTAGAGATCTCGTTATTGCTGAGAGAATGATGGCTTGAAAGAGTTAAAATACAGCAGCACAAGCTTCTAAATTCTACAGCATGTACCGAAAATGGCAGGAAACAAATGGTAGGACAGAGTTCCATTTCAAACAAGAACCGAACTGAATTTCCCTTTGCATTTATTGAGAAGTGAGCAGCAATTTCATCCCCGTGCGTTGATCTTGGATTTAAATTTTCATTTACGCAAATTTTATTGAGTTTTAAGCAAAATCTTTGACCTCTTTGACTTCAGTTTAGTTAAGTCAAAAATTAAAAAACTTACTGTCCGTTCCGTCTCATCGAACTGAGAAATAACCAGTTCTTCTTTACACTGTTATATTTTTCGTCGCGTCGTTAAAAGTAGAATGAATCATTTTGCTGAGTTATAAATGAATCACTATCTGCTCTCAGCTGTCATTTCACAGCCATATTTCGCCATCTGCAAGCTTTCTGTTAATCAAGCTTGCTTAATGCTCTGCATCTGCCTACTATTCTTTGATATAGATTGCTGATTTCGCTATCTTGAAACAATAGGTGTAGTATTCCCATAGACTGTATTAGTTACACCACTGAATCGTCACAGCTTAAGCATTCTTCGATCCTTAATAGATTAAAATGAAAGTACTAGCGCATTGAGTGTACTATATCGTTTAAAAGAAAGTGCAACCTTTATCAGCCCGCATTGAATATATTTCGAGAAAAGTGAAAGCCATGCGTTTCGAAAGCATACTTCCATCAGTGAAATTAAACTTAAAAGATTGAGTCACCAGTTGCCTGTGCAGTAGTCATATCGGTAATGTGTTAATGTACCAGTTACTTCCTATTAAGGCAGATATTAGTTTATCACACAAACGTTTCTCTCCTCTTATGTTTGACATAGTTTCTGTTAAGAATTTGAATAAATACGTGATTCAGAAATGTCTTAGTAAATCCGTGCACATAATAATAGCCTCTCCAGTACTGTAATAACAGCTTATAAATGCTTACAAGATGTAGATCTCAGGAAGAGTACAACTTAAGGTTCGATTCTAGGAAGTAATTCAGATTGGTTAGCATATATCATCCCTAAGTAAGACATGTATTTCTTCTGAGATCTACATTCTAAGTAATACACGCAACATACCTTCCTAGACATGCTGTAGCTAGTGGCCGATATCATCTCAGATCTCGAGTCAACTGTTTATTCTGACAATGCTAACGATATTATGTCAACGCAATAATGTAGAAAGTACAATAGATATTCATGACATGACGGCCGACGTATGCTTGAAATTTGCACGATGTTATTGGTCGTTAGCGCCGTTCGCAGGGACTCGAGCGGTTTTGGCTAAATTTTTTTCGGCTTAAGGAAGTTGAGTAAATTTAGTTACTTTTGGGCAATGATATTTTGGTTATAGAGAGAACTCCTCTCTTTTCCCTGGCATAGCAATGTCTCTGCATTTACTTGCTTTGCTTGACACTTAAGAGATTTTCCGCAATTTAATTGCAACTTGTCCGTTTTAGTTTGTATTTCATTTTGCTTATTAATTAAATGATTTTGTCGCTATACTAAAAGGCAACATCGAACCACTGCATTAATTTCAGACATGGGACGAGTACTGCTTCATATAAAGTATCATCGTGCGCGTAGAATGTCGATTTATTTTTAATCGTTAGTTTCGATAACGACAAAAGCCGAGAAAGATGGTGTTAACAGCTGTGCTGTCTATGGTTCGCTATATTGGCGACATAGATGATTGGGATTTTGTCGATCGCCTGCATAGCTATTTCACTACTAACATTCTCATCGCATTCTCTATCCTCGTCAGCTTCAAAGTAAAGCTTTCTTTATTGTCATAATTGAAACGATAATTGAATTGTCATTACACTCCTTAAACGAAGTCTAATCTAAATGATCTAGTTAATAAGATCTAATTTACAGAATACATTCATTGGATATTGAAGTAGAGAGCTTTGTTAGTGAAGTGCTACACTTCATCGTCTCATTTACTTTTCTCTTGCTCCTTAATCACTAACATTTCTACATATTAATCATCACATTTTTACATGTAACAAAAAGGGATATTGGATTTATCTACCTTATTACAATATTATTTTCTGCTTCATTACTTTAAGGTTTTCTATCGATTTTTTAACTGTAAACTTGCAGCATATTATAGACTTTAACAATGTTATATTATAGCGAGGAATTTCACAAATGCTCTTATGTCAGGCTTTTCAAATCTCGAGCTGTAGAACTTTCCCAACTTAATCCCTGAAGTTTAACTCTTGGAATTTAACTGGAATTTAACTCCTCTTCACATCGCTTATTATCTATTTCATCCTCATTTCAGCAATTTAGTGGAAAACCGGTGGAATGTTTGGTACCTGATATCTTCAGTGGATCATGGGAACAGGTGAGCATTGTTCTAATTTATAAATTTTTCTGACAGGAAAAGATATTAAACTCTTACAATTTAAAACGTGTTTATGTACACTTCTCTTTTTTCTTTCTCAATGATAATTAATTTCTCGCCAATCGGATCGAATAATCATGCTCTATTAGTTCTTTCTCAGATACAAACTATTTCTCACTTAGCTATACACATAATACCGTGATCTTTTTTTTAAAACAATTCCTTATTATATATATTATCGTGTTCAATTCATTTTCTCCATCAAATAATTATTTATTCTGTGTACAAAAACTGATACGACTTTGTAGTAATGCTTGTCTTTGTAACACGAGGCTTCCATTATTTCGATGGATTGATGGTCTAATTTAGTGAACTGGGTATGTTATGTAAAAGTGTTGCTTGAAAAGCCTAAATTTTAGTATTCCAATCTTCCATGTATGCTGTAGATGATTATGTAAAATTGTTACTTTTGCATCAAATATTGCACCTCTCTGACGATACAATGACAAGCAGAGAGGGTTCGATTTTTATATAATATATTCTTATAGAATGTATTTTTATAATGGGGTTATGTATAATAAGAATATATGATGTTGCGTTCTTATAATTCATAATTTGTGATTTTCATGCACCGATGTTTTCCAGTACAGAATATCATTACTTGTATTCTATGCAATTCTGAGCGACTTTAATAAATTTCACGGATGCCCCATAAATTCTTTGTTGCCAGGATTATTCTTCTTATAGTACTGTACGTAGCTGGTATCTTTGATAGTTGGTAATTGGTATCTTTCTTATCATCTGATCAGCTCATTCTTATGGATAACGTTCAAGTCACAAAACTTGTTCTCTCAGTTCAGGGAAGAACTTTATGGTCTTTTCTATCACATACCACTAAATGATAGTTGTGCTATTTAATTCATGTCTGAATTAGCTGATAAATGATAGCATCTGAAATGCGAGATTTTATTTTCAATTAAAATGAAACAATTATTTTTTGCAGTATGCAGAGAATTATTGCTGGGCGCAAAATACGTATTATATACCAATACGTGAAGTGGTTGCCGGTGTACCAACCACGGAGAAAAAACAACGGCGTATATCTTACTACCAGTGGGTACCATTTTTTCTCTTAGTTGAAGCAGCCTGTTTTCGATTGCCTAGTCTCGTATGGAAATATATGGCTGGACATTCTGGTATGTTTTTGTTAATATTGCTTTTTTCAGCTATACTTAGTTTATAAATATATCTGGTCGATACTGGAGAGCGCACTTTTTTAAGCTTTCCGGTTACTCATAAAATTATCAGTGATGATTTTTTAACGGTCGAGCCTATCATATTTTGAACTAGAGGGGATATGTATAGGATGTGTATTCATGAGGGAGTATAGGTAGAATGTATGTCCATTTAAAGTTTACTTAGGATAATGCGAGAGCAAGTTTTCTTGTTATAAAATATCTGAGGTATTTGTCTTCATCAGCTAGATATTTTCAGTATTTGGGTTTTCCTGCGAAATAATAATTGGTTCTAAAAAAGTATTGCTGCATAATACAGATTTATACCACAGTTTTTGTTTATTTAAGGTATTAAATTACATGAAATTGTGAAGTTATCCTCTGATCCGAACAACATCAAACCAGAAATAAAGAAAGCCAATATTAAATCATTAACTCTACACTTACATGTAAGTGCTTCAATAATCGTCCAAAGTTTTAAAGAAATTTTTTGTATTAATAACCTTTATTGAAAGTGATTATTTTGCACTGAGATGACAGCACAAATGGAACTTTTCATAGCTGTAATTTTTAAAATCTCATGTTTTTAGGGAGCTTTAAGATTTCATCGAAGATTACGGAAGAAACAGTTTCATCCCCATCGTTATTTAAGAATGTTCAATATACCTTATACAGCTTCATTTGTCACTTATACATATGTACTTACTAAACTCCTTTATCTAGTCAATGCTTGTGTCCAGCTGCTGATCATGAACAGGTTAGTTAGAGGATTTTTCATGTATAGATCATGGTCATTTGTAGTAATACATGTCTAGGTCATTTATAATAATCTTCTAGACTGAGATTTCACTTCACTTACACTTCTTATTTGTAAACTTAATAATTTTGCTGAAAATTATTTTTAAGGAATATCAAATTAAAATCGTTTGATGTCTTATGTTCTTTCTACCAGTCAAAGGAAATTTGCATTCAAATTAGCGTCTTTGTTTCACTTTGTTGAAGGCGATTTGTCGAACAAAATCTTGGATTAAAAACATTTCCGAAGATTTTTGCACCCTCAAACTTATCAGTGATAGTAAATTTAACCTTCTTTTTTGTGTTTGTCAATTTTTTAGGTTTCTCGAGACAGACCGTTACAACTGGTATGGTTTGGGAGCAGCGCTTGATCTTTTGAACGGTACAACATGGGAGCAATCGGGAATGTTCCCACGAGTATCATTATGTGATTTTGACGTAACTATTTTTGAAATTTCTCATTATTATCTCATCTGCAGCAGTTGGAAGCATACATCAACCTGACCGTCTTTTTCAAATGGAGATTTTCAGGTTCGTGTGATGGGAAATATTCAAGAGCATACCATACAATGTGTTCTTGTTATTAACATTTTCAATGAAAAAATTTTTATATTTTTATGGTTTTGGTATGTTGTTGGAATTACTATTGTTCTTTTTTTTTATCTTTTTTACTTCACTGTCAGGGCTGATTTGGTTTTGACTGTTTCGAGGAATGTTCCTTCTGTGATTACAATGATTGCTGCATCAAGTCCAGTCTTTAGCATCTTTATATGTATTTGTTAATTACCAATTCATACTTTTCTGCAGAATTGTTGAAATGTATTACAGGTACTCGGCTTTAATAATTTTCACAACTGGTAGTCTTATGTTCTGGATTGCTGTATGTTTAGTACCCTATCCTAATCGAAATTTTGTTATTCGTCATTTGGAAATGAGTGAATTGCCTTTCGATGCTCAAGGTAAGTGTGCAAAACTGGGAGTGCAGGTTTTCGTAACTCGTAACTTAATTTTCTCCAGTTGTTTAGTAAAGAAGCTATTTTTAGTTATCCGTAATAAATAAGAGCATAATGATGTTGTGTATTTAGTCAAGACGTAGTAAAAGTTAGGTTTTAGAATTTCGTAGAAAAACAAATGTTTTCACTTGATTTTTTTCTTTTTTTTTGATATGAAAACATTTGATGTGTTTTCATCTGATATGGATACACTTGCGAAATGAAATTTCAATCATCCAAGAAGACGAATTTCCGGAAATATATTCTGTACTTTTTTTTTCTTTTTGTAATCAAGACCAGAAGATCTGGACTGTAGAGCGCGTAACCAGCAGTTCTCTATATACATCTCAGGATTACTATTGAAGGGCATGAATTGGATGAACATTTCAGTACATAACGACTTCGCATATTCGACTGAGATGAGGTCACTATTTAAAAATAATTTCATCGTAGATTTTAATTCTAATCAATACCAGTGATTTGTAGAAAGCGAAGAAGATGTGGAGCGATTCATAAATATGTATTTAAAGAATGATGGCATGTTTGTGCTCCGGATGATAACACTCCATTCTGGTGTTATTTTTGGTAATGAATTGATATTTGCATTGTGGAAATCGTATTTTGGCATTGAGCCGCAGATACGGCGATGCAGCTCTTTCCCAACTGGCGCTACGATATGGTTACCACCTACAGGTATCACTTTGAACTTATTCTAACTAATGCAGTTGCTAAGTTTTAATTATTCCCACTCTTTCACTAGAAACATGAAAAAATGGAGGACTCAATGTTCTAAAATATATGTCGGGATATTAATGAAATGTAATGCCAGCGTTAGCGCTAGCAAACTACACCTTTACTCACGCAGTGATCAGCAATACTTATGGCATGGGTTTAAGCTGCCTATCCAATTTTTTCGACATAAAACGTTGGTTCTTTTTGCAATGTAAATACTAGTTCAAATTGAATTTGATTTTTCTTGGGATTAAGAGAAGAGTTAAAGAGAATGTTCATTCATTTTCGCCCGTTTCTCAGTGCGTTACACTTAAGTATCAATGTTTTTATTGATTACGTTTTGAAGTGGATTCAGATTAATGATTCTGTTTTTCTAAATTAACTGCAATATGAATTTACGAAAGTTTGATTGGAAAATAGAGATTTTCAGACAAACAGCTTTGCGATTTCGATCTTAATCAGTTCGACAATGACTCTGACTTGAAATTGTTCCAGAAGATGGGTGAAAAAAAGAATAGTCGAAACGCTGTGGGCACAATTTTAGATGCTACGAAAAGTGAAGAAAATCCACTATTACTGACACAGAGTGAGTGCTATTAGACTATACACTGACTGAAAGTTAGAGTATGAGATAATATTGGCGCAGTTTTGGCCACTTATCTGCTTTCATTTCCTTTACTTCCTCTTATTTTCATCTAGTTCATACAATTCTTAAAGTTGGCTTAGATGAACAGTAACTTAAAGGCCTCAAAAATTCTTATAATCGTTGTGTGATCTCCTGACCACTCTACGTAAGCCACATATAGAAGAATGTTTGTCCGCTTACAAAATGAGTGTTGAACTTTGGGAAGAGCTTTTGTGCGTTTCCCTCCGTATTACTACTATTTTTTTTTCAAAATTTAATAAACGGATTTAGATTTATATTTCTGTTTGTTTCTTCTTGAGAGCATTTGTGTAATGTAACGCATGCGGTGATTTACGAACTTCTTAATTTTTTAGAGTCAACTGCTCCTACACAAACCTTCAAAAATAACCCTCTTAGAAGGCCAGTAAGCAACGAAAGTTGTTTACTTCAGCGTACGGCTCTTTCGTCTCACTCACCTGCTTCCAACAATCCAACGGAAAAGACTGGAAATTTTATGATTTAATATTATTCTTCAGTTATTACTTCAAATCATGACCAGTTAGTCTTAACATTATTGGCCTTATTACCCTACGAAAATCCGTGGTGATGCTAATTAATTTATTATGTGATCTGTGAAACGTATTTTGTGACTCCGAGACTCTAAATTTTTATCTGGAATGACTAAAATGTCTGTTGTTTTGCCTATATATCTGTTGTGTTTTTAAAGCAAACTGGCGCAGTTTGTATTACACTCTAGTTTCAGTATCAGTTCAAGATATCCAAATGCTCTTCAGTTTAGTTCATAATTGTAGCAAAATTTAGCTTCGAATATCTGTCCCAGATCAACATTTTCGGTATGAATTTAATTCCTGATTTGTTTAGAATCTACTTTGATTTGGTTTTCTTTTATTTTGCCGTTCGTTTTGTAATGTTTTAGTGCAGCATCCATGACATTGCGGACTTTCTGTAAATATTTCCTATTTTAGTTTATTTGCTGATTCGAAAAAAGCATACGTGGAGTATAAAACACTGGTGAGAATCGCTTATAGGCTGTTCTAGACGAAAAAGTGCATTTATAAACTTCTTGTTTCCCCGGACTTTATCTCATTTTAACTTCAGATTTTAAAACCTTCAGTTATTTTTGCTTCAACAATGCTTTTTTTCCCACTAATCTATTTTATTTTTTCACTCACCGCCACCTCATTGTGCATGTTATAAGTCATTTGTTATGCCTGTTACTATTGTTCGGAAAGATTTCACGAATAAAAGTGATCATGTGCATTATGCATTAATATTATTCATGAATTTTTAGCCAAATAAGGCATATGTTTTTGTGCTGGAAAAAATTAGCCATCAAATTTACTTCTCGAAAATTCCATGTATTCCGTGCGAAGTTCCCTCAAGTTCTTGCAAATTCCAATTTACACGACAAGTAAATTTGCCTGTTTATACTTTTCTCGGGATGTGATATTGATGAGAAAGTGCGTATGTTAGAGGGGTGCATTCTACTAAAAAATCAGTGGTAATTACGACAGCGAGATGTTAGGTTTTTTGGAGTATTTTGGGGAAATTTGCATAATTCGATATGTATTCGTTCATAAATTTTTGGTCATTCTCAATTAGTTGGTCATTGTTAGGTAGTGTTTCGGAGGAAAAGGTCAGATCGTAAGTTGTTCAGGAAATTTCACTACTGCGAAGAGAAATCGCTTGCAAGGTAATTACGAAAGAGGTTTTACAACATATAAGTGCCTGGGAATAAGAATCTATTTGGGGATACGCTCTGCATTCAAAGTCATCAACTTTGTCTCTGGTTCCTAATTCATGTTCGGGAATTCTGAGCTTATCTGAAGTCCACAACACTTCAGAAATTGGTTCGATGAGCTTTTTTTCAAGAGATACATTTGACCGTTCGATTTCAAAGTCCCGAGAAAAAGAACGTCGCTCGACAATATCGCACGCTCGATCATCAGCACCGTTTTCAACAGATTCCGAAGTGGAACAAACGAAGAAAAATAAGTTGTTAGAGCAACATCAAGATATGGAAATCCCAATTCATGAAGAAAGTGAAGTGGTATGGGTTTAATTAAAACAGACTTTTAAATCCATAGGAGAAAATGACCTGTGTTCAAAAAAATTATCAACAATTATTCATAAAGGGCCGTTTCTTGGTGTCATGTTGAAGTTATTCACATTGATGTTGATCTTTGATAACATGCACTATTTGTTAGAAGACTAACTGATTAAAACACCTAAGAGGATATCTTTTTCAGGCCAAAGTAGCTCGTCAAGAAACGCTTGAGTATTGTCGAGACAAGTTGATCATTAAACCAAAGAAGATGCCTCATGATCAGAAACAGGTTTTTTATTACTTGTATTGTGGTATAATCAGATAGCCAAACTGTATCTATCCTCTTCCATGACAGTTTGTGACAGACAGGAGTGTTGACAATGATCGATGAAACATCAACTTCGTTTTTTCCACTTGAGATGTGTCTATGTGGCCTTATTTTATTGGATGTCTCAGCCAACTTTTTTGTGTGCCATTCATGTGTGTTATTGTCTAATTTTTCCATAATTCGGCCTTCAGATTTAAAGTTCAATATGAAATGAAACTTTGTGATTAATGAATAACTTTCTAGTGAAAGTTCCATTTAGCGGAAGATATCAGAAGGAGTCACAAAGCAACGATCAGACTATCCAACCATGGAAGACATATGTAGTGATTGGGAATCATATGATGAGGCAGAACAAATGACCAAACAACCAGAAACGAAGGCCTGTCATGAGCTGACGAAGCCTCTCCTACTACAGCAGCAAAATCAGAAACAGAAAGAACAATCTCAGTTGCAGCAGCAACAACCTTTACAATATCATCAAAGTGTATATTATAATCAACATTATCAAACTATACAGAATCATGGCAAAATTCAACAACGTCAGTTACCCAAAAAGAGCCATCTTGTGTCGCATAAGAATGAATCAATCAGAAAACACCAATCGAAGATGATGTCAAATCCATGTTTGAAACCTAACAAATAATTTCATTTTGCAAATGTTATGTCCTTCGGTTGAATTGTAATTTAACACAACACAACGACTGTTTATTTGCAGACTATTGAATTTAATGAAATTTTAAAAGTTGAAGATGGAAATGACGTGGTGAGGGACAAAACCAGTGCGTAAACGTTAGTGGGTGTATCAGTAGTAATTAATAATTAATTCGAGGAGTTCTAGTTTAATATTCATTGTTTACGAAAGCAAATATGAGAAATACCTTTACTATGTTGGAACAGGTAAGGAGAATTTTATTCTAAATTTCGTCATCAAATGGCCCCTTCCATTGTGAATACGTGATTCAATAGGACTAACCGTTTTCTCATATTTGCAGCTCATATTTGCAGTAAGGTGACACAATTTCTCATCTTAAAGAAATATTGTAAAAATAGTTTAAAATGATCCTAATACCCTCCCTATATTTCTTATTTTCTCACTCAATAATCCGTGCTTATTAAAAAGATACACATAGCAAAGGATCATGTTTTACAAGGATTAGGATATGTTTATGTAAATCAGCAAGTGGTTGACAAGTTCAAAGGAAGATTGCAGTTCCACCTTTTACGATCTTTTTACGATCATCGTTTACAACTTTTCCGCTCGTTGGAGAACCGCTATTCAATCTTAATTTGCATTATTAATCATAAATTAGCGATTTTTGTCATGCGTATCTTTCAGCTGTTGAATGCTCACAATGAATGAATTCAACCGAATGACTGCTTAAATTTATATTTATTAAAACTTGTGTTCAGTCTCAAATTTTATTCAAAAAAATTTTAAGCATAATTTGACAGAAAAATCGACTTTCGTAATATTATGAAATCAATTAGTCAAAATTTTGATATTTCTATTTCTCGTAATTTGCTAGGAGAAAAATGGAGAGACTTTTGCAAATAAACCGGTCCCTTTTCTCTATCTCTCCCACAGTTCATAGCCATATTTTTTCAATACGACAGGTCATTGCTAAGGTATCTTAAGGTCAACTCTAATTTAGAGTTTAGCAGAATGTATGTCTTTTTGATTATTGTTAGATATATAGGGTATGTTATCCATGGCTTAGAGCCATATTTTCCGTTCAAAACCAGTAATGCGACGCGATCCTTTTATTTCCAACCGCTACCATACCTTAATTACTACCATCTCTTAATTAGTTGTTATCAATGAACTGTGGCGAAATACATGCACGGATAGGCAAATGTGCAACATAGATATACGAAACGAAGACTTTGTATTACTTAGAGTCGTCGTCCACCTCATTTTTTCTTTTGATTCTATTTCTATCAAAACTAAAAAGCCCTTTAATGTTTTGAATGATTTACTGAATCTTGGGGATATCTTGGAAAATCCAACATTATCTACTATGCACAATTACATCTTTTATTGATTAATTTAGAGATCACTTATAATCCCTATCTTGATTATTTTGACATACCAATTCCTCAGTCTGTGTTTTTAAAAATTTTACAGATGAAGGTATCATCATGATCAGTGCGCTCCATATGCAACAAGATACCTGGTAATGGATGTTCTTGACAATCTCACTAATTAGCACAGTCCCCAATTTATTCGAAATCATTGGTGAAAATTATATGGAAATAAAAAAAGTTAGCTTTAGCCGGAAGGTGAATTACAATGAGTCCTTGTGAGAAGTCGATAATGAAGCACTATTTTCAACATTTCTTGTTTCCCGTTTTTTTCGCCATTTAAATTTCAGTTTCACATGGGAATTTCAAAGAAAAAAAGGTTTTTTTCAACCTTTGAAAACATCGTTTTTTGTGATACTGAATGCTATCATTTGGTTATTTATGATTACAGATGTTTCAGCAATTTTTTCTCGTTGCCGCCCTATTATTTATCTACAACAGCTCGACTTCCTTCCGTTCCAGTGAAGAATAGTGGATCGAGGAAGTGTGAAATTAAACTAAACTAGCCATTAAGTTTCCATGTTATGTTTAATTAGGTTCTACATATGCATCCTTCCTTGCCGGCACAGAAAGCAATTAAAAGCGGCATACATTCTTTCAAATGTTATGCTTATTTAACGATCAGCACAAAGGCATAACTTATATTTACATAGTAAGCGGTATGGACAATACAAAGCGTTCTTTCTTTTTACAGGTGTTGCTATTAACACACTAAAAAAAGTTCAATCTTTGCCCGTTGTTTGACCCCTCTTAATTAGATTAGTGATAATCTGATTGATTCATTCTTTGGCAGCAAAATACTTTTCCATTGTGCTAAATCTTTGAACATCACTTACTACGGAAAGATCATCTTTATCCGGCTATGGAAAGTAAATAAAGAACAGATGTGTTCAACAGCCATCGCTTGCCAAACAGATGGTAATTCAATTTTGCGGTGAAATCCGTGTAGTTATAGGTTATTGCAAAGTCTAAATCAGCTCAATCACTCTTTCATTATTAATCATTCCGTAATAATGAAAATTCAGTAAAATTGTTTTTGATATTTAAGGGCAATCTACAGATTGCGCCCTTCAAGTGATGGCTTCAATCTATCGTCACAAAGACGCAAAGAAAGTAATCATTGTAATACAATCTACCGAAACAAAAATACGCCTTGGACCCTTCTTAACTCATTCAACATCCCATCAAATATAACATATAAAAACTTTAAATCTGACGACGAAGTATCGAAATAATACAATTAATTTTAAATATAAATAATTATTTATCTTGTGACGAATGTGTTGTCATTGTTATTCACAAAAATAATGTCTTGTCATTCACAATTATTTATAGTATTCAATGAATTAATTGAGAGGGAAACATCAAGAATTAATAGTTTCGAGTGTCTGACAAAAATCTGTTATTGATATTTCAAACTATCAATGTCGAAGTTTTAAAACATAACTTCAATCATTCTACAAAGATAGCGGTACAATCATATATCTTCGTCACCGAGATAACAAAACGGTGCATAAGAATTTTGCCTTCGGTCTCTGGTCTACAGGACTATACCATTCCTCACCAACACTCAGTCTGGGGCGGTAACTTATTCATCACTGACCGAGGTAGACAACGAACCTTAGCATGAAGGTACAATATTAAAACTTGCCACTCGGCCATCAACCATATTGACTCCAATCCTTTTAAAAAATGTTCAACCCTTAATATCTGTTATAAGTTCATTTCCTTTGCGAAATGGACGAACTCTCTTCAGTAGTCGAACAATTCCAAAGATTTTTCGAAACAAATAAACTTCCAGAATTCCATCAAATTTTATCGAGATGAAAGTATTCGTGCGAAGACATACGCTCAAACGTTGGAAATTCATCATAAATTTCTAAAATGTAGCAAATTACTACAAAAAGACACTTATTAATATGGCTAAAATTTCCGGTAAGGAGAAATTCAACGATGTTTATTTATTCCGAATCTGTAAAGAGAACAGAATATTGATTCCGGAAAAGAGGTATACCTTAAATCTTCGTTTTCATGATGGAAAACTAAAATTATCCTCATCCAATCGCTGTTTCGTTAGTTTTTTAATAACATGTATGAAGCTCTGTGTCTTTTCTGTTAGGTAGCACCGTAAAATCTGGTAGAATGGCACTGACCTGTGGACAATATTGCCCTGAAATACTTTTGCTAATAATAAATCAGAAATCATAACAACTGGGTAATTAACAGCAGAAATTATAACTGGGAAGTAATTAACAGCAAACTTGTTGGAGGTGATAACTCTTCTTCTTGAGACTTAATCTTACTCGAATTTCGATTCTTATTACATTTTCTCCATCACTTCATAACTTCGCTATCAACCTTTAAGTAATGCAATCAATTTACTTGAAAAACTGTGAGAAAATTACTTCTTCACGTGTATTACACCATATTTCTTTCATTGTGAGCAATGAAAACGGCAACGTCAAAGCAATCAACTCCATTATATATCCCAAAAACAAACTTCCGCTCTTCTCAACAAACCCCTTCCCTCTTCATCTGATGGAATAAATCGTTTATATCGCAACATATTACCCAAAACGAAACATTTAAACTCCACTAACATTATAGCCTTGCAATTCAACTTAAATTGAAAAGAGTATGCGAAGTTCGAAATACAGAATGGAACATAACTATAACCCAGACTCCGAAATATCCAGGTAATTACTTCAATTGCTCAACAATCTAAGCGTAAATCAATCGCGAAATTTAAGTCAGATCGGTTATGAAGATTTTACGGGTGCACAGAAACCCAGCACCAAGCAGAATTCGGATAAAAATTATACCAAGGGGAAAACAAATTATATCATAATATAAAAAATTATATATTTTTTTATCATAATATAAAAAATTATATTTTTTTTATTAAAATTGTACCTTCGGTGCTTTCCATTCACATTTCAATCACAAACAAGTATTTTCAAATTAGACCAAACTTTAGAACTGAAACTGTGGGGAAGAAACGTTTAGTATGATTTTAATCGACATATCTACCACTTAATGGAAGCTGTCACGGTGCATAAACCAAAGCAGAAAATGGCCAACATCTTTTCTACTCACTAATTTCAAATAAATGAACAAAGTCAGCAATTGCTAACCTACATTGTGTCCTTTATCCATCAAAATTACTTGAAGCATAAAGTTGATAATCGAAGTTTAACCATTTAAAAGAAAAAAAATTGTAACATGTGAATGAATGGTAAGAGAATTTTTATAACTGTAGGAATCCATGCAATACAATTATCAGTGATTTAAGAATAATTGAATTTGAACCATTACTGGTAGGGTAGAAAACAAAATACAAACCGTAGAGGCATTCGAACTCATCGAACCTCTACTATCATTTATTAATTAGATATAAGAACCAAGAAAAATATATATTAAAGCAAAGAAAAAATCGTAAACAGTTATATAAAAGCAACAAGTGAACAGGAAAAGAACAAAAAAAAAAAAAACAACCGCATGCTGCTGATAGACAACAGTAAAGATACTATTTACAAGTGAAAAGAAGTAATTTATAAAATTTCGCCAATAAAATTAACAGAAAAGTATTGGAAACAAGAAGATTGAATGCCACAACAGTTTTGTTTCAGTGTCACTGTACTTCAAGACAATATTAAGCAAAAGTTTCAGCATTCATAAATACTCGCCCAACCATCCTATCTTATCATCTATCAATAGTGTAGCATAAATTATCAATTTGATAGCATTCAATTTTCTTGAAAGGCATTCTGTAATTGCGAAGATACAAAGTATCAACAGCAAAAAGGCATTTAAGGAAGAAATGCTTATAATCAACACAAATAAAAATTTATGCACAATTAAAGCTCCATTATTTATATTTATTAATAGCTAAGAATTCCATCTTATGAATATTATATCGTTTTTAAAAAACAATTATTATAAAAATGAAAAATTCGCTTCTACATTTGTCCAAATTTAAAGAATTTTCCATCGATGAACCAATTTCATAGTTTAGTGATGTCACGTGCGGACCTGCAAGATTCTCGAATTTTGTTGGTAAAATATGGCCACGGGAAACTATTCGAACTTTTCAGTTTAGATTAGTGAGATTTCTTGGCATAGAATCAACCATGGAAAATTGAAAATCCCATGATGGCTCCGAAAACAGCTAATTTACGGATATGGGTCATAACAATAATAGATTTGTTTCAAAAATTGGGAATTTTCAGCAATGCAGGTATAAAACAAATTATGCAACAACATACTGAAAATAATTATGAAAAGCAAGAGAAGCACAATTTTTACAGACAGGAAAAAAATCACATGAGAGGCACTATGAAGAAAAGGGAAAAAATGAAGCGAATGAAGGGACAGAAGTATACTAATATGCACGGCAGAAGCCACCCATTTAACAACCATCACAGTTTCAAAGATCCATTTCAAAACGGTATTTTATAAAAATCGATTTGCCAGTTTAAACATTCATAAATTCAAAGCTTTGCTCATGAAAATTCCAAACAGTATTCATCAAATCATTAGCTATATTATAAACTGAATTGAGATTTCAAAAAAGTCCGCACAAATACCATTTCAAAAAATGCACCCAACCACTTTGAGGCACATTGGCTGGAAAACGAACGAGATCCATACAAATAAAATGAATACAAACAACTAGGTCAAAGCAACATCCAACATGCAACATCTATTGGATAGTGATGAAACAACAACATACAATTACGATTTCATGTGGCAGCATAAAAGACCATAACATCATTGACTTCCATATAAATAACAAGCTTAAAACACATTTAAATTAACAAATAGTAATGTTTGATTAGTAACTAAGCAAATATTCAATAAAAATTGTCAGTTACTTGGCTAACAGGAAAATTACCTAATCTGTAATGCCTTTCAATACTATAAACCTTACCTGTTGTATACTTTAGTTTTTAGAGTAACACCGTAAGAGTAGTTTTATATTTCCTGACCATTTGAGTTAAACAAATGAAAGGTAAAAGATAAATTATTTTTGCAAGAGACTAAAAGAGAACTCATAAATTAGTTTGTACGTCGGTCACCTTATGAACGACATCTCGTAGCTGCCGTCTCGGATTATTATCCGGAGTTAGCCGGTAGTTGACAGTATTTGATTCTGATTTACTATTTGTTTGTTGCAACATCACCTTCGGTACATCAATTTCCTCATAATAACTGCCGCCATCTTCAGATGATTGTGTCGGTAAAGGTGAACGTGCAACGTCGAAACGTTTTGAATGTAAGATCTAATATGAAACACAGTAGAAAACATGAACAAAAAAGAAATAATTTAGTGAATTTTCCCACTGATTCTGTGTTTGAATGCAAATAAGCAAAAACTTCAATGCTTTTCTCTCTGCAAATCAAAAAGTAAAAAACCTTATTAAAGCATCTCGCATTTTTTAATGATGACAGTCCTAAGTTGACAGTAGGCTCGGCTGCATAACGCTCACTGTAATCAATATCTTCTCGATCTGGATAAGACGGTAACCTTTTCTTACCAGACATCTACAATAGCAATGAAATAAAACTATTAAATCAATAACTTTTACTTTATTGTTACTGTTTATGCACAGCTCAGATCAATCCCATAGGAACCTAAATTGGTGGTAGATTTATAATACGCTAATCGTTAATTACGAGTAATTTTCCTCCTACATTCCCTCCTTATTATAGGCATCACTACGTAATGTTTCTTTTTTCTTTTCTAATTTTCTAATTTCTAATTTCCGAGTTTAAATATTCGTCAATAAATCTGTGTAGCATTGCAGATTTTGAAATGAAATGAAAATGAATACAGCGATTTAAAACATGAAGAAAATCTGTTCAAATTGTCCTTTAATTTAGTTGTACAATGACAATGAATAAACTAACCACGATTTTCTAACGATTAGAAATGCAATTATTTATTTCCTTATTTTATTAATTTTTCTTACAAATCTATTTTACAGTTTTATTAATTTCTATGTACCAGTTTCCTACTTTTATATGAATATTTCATAAACTATAAAAACTGACTGAGCCAAAAATCTATACATATATAGGACTTTCAAAACCAAACTGACTGTTTGAATTCTATGCGTCCGATCTCGTTCGAAATAACTAATTTCGGAATTTGGGTTTGTACATATGGATAAACACGGCTTTTGCTCGGAATATTTTGAAAGTGTTCTTGAATTTTGGTCATTCTGGAAGGTTGGATCTACTAAAGACGCTCTTTTTGTCACTTTTTGACGGTAAAAAATAACAACAATCAACATCAATGCCAGAATACAACACGAAGAGAGCAATATAAGCAACAGATCTCTGAAGTTTAATCCGCCACTTGAAGTCTGAAATTCTAGTGATTTAAAATTTAAGAAGAAGGCAATGGAGACTATATCCAATTTATTACTAATTGACATTTATGACTAACTTTTTATTCAGACTTAACTGTATTTGGAAAACAATACTAAGCCTGTAATTTCGGTGCAAAGCACAGAAGTTGTGGTTAGTGTAAGTGATTACACCCTCTCAATGTAAGTGATAACCTGTTGTTCATTTTCAATCTTTACGACAAAAGTTCTGGTGTGGTTATACCGCTGAAGTGATCGGCACTCTGAATCAAGATGTAAACATCTTTCGCCATAGAAACACGGTGGACAGAGGCAATGAAATCCTTGAAGCGAGTCGACACAGGTACCTCCGTTTCTAAAAATACGAAATTGATTGGTACCAACAAAAAAACACAAGCGTGGATTGAAAACGAAATTTAATGCTCTAATTGCAAATAGCATCAATTAATTACTAATGACCGATTATGTTGAATTCAAATTTTTTTTTAATCTGAAAAAACCTCATCCAAACAAAATAAGAATCGTTTTTTTCCTGTATAGTATGAATATACCTGCATACATTGCGATCACATCCTATTTCAGCAGTTTTACAATTGCTTCCCCTAAATCCGATGCGACATTTACAATAGTATCTTCCACCTTGCACGTCAATACATTGGCCACCGTTCATGCAGGGCTCATTTAAACAAGGACTGACCGAATCTTGACATAATGTACCGCTATATCCATCCAGGCATTGGCATTTGTAATTATTCACTTCATCAATGCAACGTCCGCCGTTCATACATGGATTGAGCTAATAAGTACTCCAGTTTAAGAAATACAATACAAAGCGTTAAATTCCTCAAAGTGAAATGCTCAGAGAAATTTTAAACAAGCAGAGAACGTTCGCAAAACTTCTGGATGTCATGCTTCGACTCAGCTTTTGAATAAATTTTTCAGAATCGGGAAATTATAAGCGAAAAACAAAAAAAAAAAAAAAAAACGAAACAAAGTGCATACTAAAATAATTTCCCAAATGTGCAATTACTCAAACTTACTTGTGCACACTCATTAGAATTCACCTCACAGTGCCTTCCGGTAAAGCCAAGCGGACAGAGGCAGTCGTAGTCTCCAGCACTGTTTCTTTCCACACATTTTCCTCCTGAAATAAGTATCATATTTAAAGATGAATTGTCATTAATAAATTATCACATCAGTTGATTAATCAATTTCTAAAGTTGATGGCTAAATCAACTTTACCCAAAAGCGCAACAATGAATTGAATAAGTGACCTTGGAAGGAATGAAATTCTGTAGTGTTTCCACATTATTTCAATTCAAAGATGATAAAAAGTTGAAAATTACTTTAAAAAAGGGAAGAAGGCATCATGAGGAATAAAGGTTATTACCTTTATTCTTCGATACAATATCCTCATCAAACCAAGGTTAATTTGGTCAATATGGCAGCTCAGCATGATTTTTTATTTTTACTTGAAAAATGAAAACGAAATAGTTGGCGAATAGTAGTGCAGCCAGCTGTGGGAGGTCGATGCAATAAAGCACTCTGTTAAATTTCCATTAATAAACAACATAGAGCAGTTTCGTTTTAATTTAGAATTTTAAACGAATTTTTCAAATAATAGGACCAGCAATAAACTTATTCTGTTGCTAATTGCTTTTTTAATGTTAAAAGCATGAACATTTACAACTATACACTCTTCCTACACTCAGCGGGCGAACGAATCGGAAAACCTTTGTGCAACCCAACTAACTTTGGCAAACATTCTACCCTGCTGTGACTACAAATACTAGCCGACAGGTAGTACCACGACTAACTGCAATCCAAACTGTATTGCGTATCACTATGTTTTGAAAAACAGCAATCTTATGTCAATCTATTGTTATTTCGCTCATGGCAAGCAATGCATATTTAACATAGGAATGGCCATAATATTTATCCGTTAAAATCTTAAAATTTCAGAAATCACAAGAATAAATTAACCGTTAAAACAATGGGCTACGTCACAAGGTCTAATCTCGATATCGCAAGTAGAACCGGTCCATCCTGACAAACAAGTACAAAAGAAGATTCCATGAATTTCCATGCATGTAGCACCATTTTGACAAGGTGAATCTGAACAGGAGCTAGCAACAACTTGACAGTAGCGACCGGTAAAGCCTTTTGGACAAATACAAGTATAGTTGTTTCCAGGTATATCCTGAAAGATGCATAGTTCAAATGAAAACAGCAATATCCAAGAAATGTTATTGAAATTCAGAAACGCAGACTAAGACTTGTTAGAATTCCATAGTACACAACTACTATTTAATCAACTGATTTCTGAAATGCACAAATAAAAATATAGCATACAGCACAGGTAGCCCCATTTAAACATGGTTGTAGCGAACAGTTCTGTACAGGGGTTTCACAGTTCGTTCCTGTGTATCCATCTGGGCATTCACATGTATACTGTCCGTGACCTGTATTCCTACATGTCGCATTATTCCTGCATGGCTGATGTCGTGTGCAGTAGTTCAAATCTATAAAATACTCTATGAAAATTAAAAAATTATAAATATTACCTTGAATTACATTAGAATGGTGTTTATAAAAAGCATCGAGCGTCAGCATGCAGTAAGTGGTGTTTACAAGTTCTTAAATTTGAACACCATCAACACTTTTTATAAAAACATACATGTATTTGCTAAATTTAATAATTGAATTATTAATTCCTACTTCAGTAATCAAATTTTAAAAGCATAATTTGTCGAAAAAATGAGCTTCGAGGTACAGCAAATCTTGAAATACCTTCATTGCAAAAATGTCCTCCCCAGCCTTCATCGCAAATACACTGATTGGGCGTTTTGCAAGTGCCGTGCTTGCAACCCGGATATCTCACGCACTGAAGGAAGAGCATTTAAAATAGCAGAATATTTCTTGAACTTAGAAGTGATTTAGTAATTAAAAAGAAAGTTGATTTATGCATCCATTTCTCCTTTTCACAGGTACTGTTACGAAAAACATTAAAGCTTACTTGATCACAGTTCGGTCCAGTCCACCCGGTTTTACAACGACATGAATCAGGCCGGTCGCATGCACCATTGATGCAATTGTCGCAGCGTGCTGAAGCTTGAACATATTGGTTACTGACTCGAAAATAATTCCCGGATAAAATGACCGTCAATATGTCTTCTTTAATCGAAAATGTGGTACTTTAAACCCTTTATTCAGCTATTATTCCAGTGCAGCGTAAAATAAGGTGAGGAATGAAGAAACATTCAGTCATAATCTGTATTGAAATGTATATTTCAAGATAAAACGATTCTATACAGTCCGTGAAGCGTAACGCATGCTTTTCAAAGGAAGTAATATACTTCTTTTTTTTTAAAATCCAATATATTTTTGAAAAAAAAAGCAAATTAGAAATAAAAGCATTTCTTAATGCTTCAAGTTGCCAGTCTATCAAAGATTCTGCTACATTGATAATTATAATCGGCTTAGAGGAATTAAAAAAAATAAACGTTACAATTCAGGTTCTCTAAACATATTTCATAAGATCGAAAAAAGGAAAAAACATGAAGTTTGTAAGTGCGAAAAAATATAAGTTTTTTTGTCCGCTTTCCTCTCATACGATTCTGTACCTGCCAATAGTGACCAGTCTTTTTTCTCAATTCATACGATACTAATCGATTCGTCTTTTATTGTTTTTTCGCAAATAACTTTGGAAACAGTGAAAGCATGAACTAGGGAGCTAATGATGAAACAAGCAGATGTCCGGAAAAGGTAGCCTGAGAAGTCAAAGAGAAGAAAGAAACAAATATAATGGAAGACGGCCTTCGAAGCAATACTAATTGCTAACTGTTCATACTACTTGCGTCAAAATTATGTAACACATGTTTCTTTCAATCTTAGCTTGTTTTCTACTATACTAAAATAAGAATTTCTATTATATTCTGGACCAAAAATCTTTGGCGAACAGCTGTTCCCTGTCTCTTACCTAAGTTTCTATTTATTCGCATAAATTTTAATGATCAGATTTTTTTTTTGGTCAACAGTTGCGGTATACTATTAATCCTCAGTAATCCTTCATATAGTTTCTGGGAAATTGCTTGGAAAAGGCAAGAAAATGAGATCTTCTTGATAATAATGAACACTTGCCAGTCAGAAAAAGTACTTCAAATTTCAGATAAAAAATTGAGTGGTCGGTTTACTACGTGCCATTAAGTGCACACAGTATCGGAAAACAATTTTCCACGAAAGAAATTTTTAAAAATTGACGGAAAGTTTTTTTTTTGAAAAAAAAATGGCATAATTTCCATGTTAGTATGATGCTCGTTATTTACACATTAGTAGAATTAATAAACAAAAAGGATTGTGAGAAGTAAATGAAGAATAAAGTGGTGGGTAAGGAACAGTTGAGAGGTGCTTCATATTCAGAAGAGCCGAAAAGAGTACGTTTGATTATATTATGCATATCAACAATTATCTACACTCCTACGAAAGCGAGTAAATAATAGCCTACAGTGAAGTGCATATTCCACTCTAGCATCAATATCACTGGTATTGTTTGCTAAAAACTGTACTAAAACTAAGTTCATTATGGAGTTCAAGCTTGAATACAATAATAGTACTATTCTGAGGCTATTACAACTCTGTATCCATAATAGTCGCTTAAAGTCTAAAGTAAGGCTGCTGCATTTTTAGGTGTGAAAAGCAAACTCAATGCTTCATGATTTTTGTAAGAGTAATAGGCATAAGAAGTAAATAACTAGGGTAGTTTCTGCCTCAGTCTATATAAATGGTGAATTCAAGCCTGATTTACCGAATTAATCTAAATCCTTAATGTGTCTATTACTCACCAAAAACCAAGCAATTTCATCTTCACAGACAACAGGAAGTAATTTGCAGTGGTCGCAATAATAACTGAATTTCTTATTTCTTGAAAATTATTAAACTCATAATTTTACAGGATTATTAGTGTGAAACGAACCTGTATCACAACTTGGTCCTTCCCAGCCAGGTGAACAAGCCAGTGAACCATTCGATGTACACTGGAAATGACCAACAGTACTAGACATCGGCTGACAAAATGTAAGACATCGTGGTCCATAATAATCACTAGCGCAGGTTATTCTGTAAGCGATCCTCATTCGAAAACCATTTGTACCAACAAGCGTTTCTTCAATCCAATTTTCACCCGAAGGTATGCTTTCACGTTGAAAGCCATCATGAGACATCAGCTTTTTCAAACCTGGAACTGAATTATGAATTTCGGAATTTCCCCATAAATAGTCAAGTCTTAATCCAGTCTGAATGGCGTCACAAGTTTTATTGTCCACTTAGGTCATTCATATACCAGAGTGCAACATCAATTTCCAGGTGAGACCTAATATCATGAATAATCATTGTTTATCTCTCTACGCATTAATCTCCCGGAAGGTACTTAAAAAGGGAAAGGAAATAAAAATGGAGCGTAGGAAAGCGATGGATGATTAAGATTTAACAACAGAAAGAAAGTAATCAACCGCGAAGATCCACTGCTGATACAGCTAACTGAGCTAAGGTCATCAAAAAGATGCCGTATGTGATAAAGAGGTGGAAAAGTAGAGAATTACCAAGTTAATCCGGTATAAACACTTGCACAGCTAAACAATTTCACACTTCGTTGCTGATCTTCCGAATGTAAAGTCCAAAAATAAAAGAACACGTTCAAAAAACAAATAAAAAAATTTGGAGGGGAAATTGAAGGATAAATTTCTGAGGAATAAAAAAAAAAGTAAACGTACTTCCAGTGATCCTCCATGCTTCCGTTATTAAAGTAAACGATTCCTAAAATTAAGATCAATAACTAATTTAACCAGATAGTTCAAAATGAGTTTAAACCTTGCACTTATTGTTGAAATTCGTAAAATGCAATCAATTCGCTAAGATAAGGCTAGTACTTTCGTGCTTTACAGAACTTTAGTACAGACATTCGGCAGTTTCATGCCATATGCAAAACATTCCCTTCTCCTGTAACACTACTTATCCAAAACATACCAAATTTTTGCGCCTCACAGTTTTGTTTCTACCGGTTAAACCCTTTCTGCACCATATAAATGCGATTTTTTCAGGCAACGCGCGTGAGAAAGAACCTTGGAAGGGATTGTATGTGATATAGTGATGTTGAGGAGATGGATATTCATGAAGCGTAGGAGAGCAGCAGGGGTTTTGCTGTCGCACCCCGCTCTTTAGAAAACTCCATAAAAAGAGGGGAAGCACGAAAAGAACAACAGAACGCGTATGCATAGCATCTTACAGAAAAGTGTTGTAATTCCTTTTGAGACAGTAATGGTTACATTGTTATTTCACATACATTGTTATTTCACGCGGTAACATCAACAACCCATACTTTCTCATAAGATCGGAATATTTCCTATCTCTAATTACGTTGATGTCTCATCGGAAGTACTCGTTCGTATGAGATTGCAACGGAAATATGGCGGAAATTTAGTACATATCCAGTGTGTCAAGATACTTCACAATTGTCACCTATTCCAGTGATCTTTTTGAAAATTAATGATCGTCTAATGGGGTTTTGTTATGGTTATCGTAAATCATTTTCTTTTTCCACAATGTCCTCAAATCATTTGCAATATTTTAAAATTTTTAAAGTTTGTCAGTAGAAATCGACGCCCATAAATTCCGTGACACTAACAAATTAAAAATATGGTAACAAGTGCACATTTTAAGTTCATGATGGTTCATATTCATGCAAGGGTAAACTAGACCTCTTTAAGTTTTCATAATAAAAAAGGCTACCGATATGAAAAAACCTACCCACTAGTAATGTAGTCTTCCGCTTTAATTATTATTAGTGCTTCATGAGTTACTGCTTCTTTGCCAAAATTTATATCAAAATAATTCGTGGGATATCCCTCACGATGAATGCATTTCTTTATATACTCTTGAAAACTTTTCCGAAACAGAACCACTCAATCGAAGGAATTATTTTCAGTATAGTCGGCATTAAAAAGAAAAAGGTAAACAAGCACATACTGGCCAACCAAACTGAAATTCAATCTTTGTCCCATTACGTAAGCGTTCTGCATCAAGTGTCACTTCACCGAATGTACATTCACCATTATAGCTAATACGTTTCTCAAAATGTTTGAGACAAATCCTCAGCTCAGGACGAAACTCCTCTTTTGAGCCAACTGTCAACGAAACCAGTCGTATTTCGAATGAACCTGCACAAGAACACTGCAAAAAAAAAAACCCATTTAGTTGGATAGAAAATATTTAGGAAATTTCCTAATTTTCGAGAAATTTTTGGGGCAAACAGACACGAATTTCCAGCCATTTTCCAGCAACACAGTTGAAAAAAGAAATTACATCCTCATTAGGAAAGGAACTGCACTTTATCAACAAACGACTTTTCAGTAGTACAGTTATGTTGGCGGTAATTATGGTTAAATATTTTCTTTGCACTCTCCCGTCTAATCGATGATTCGTTGTTTCGCTTTCAGTGCTCTTACTTGAAACAATGACTATTTTACTCCGTGTACTGTTGCAAGAAATTCCGCAGTGCAACAGAACTTGAATAGCGCGAAATACGTGGGAAAAGCGCTGGCAATTTAAACGATCAAAATGCAGACAATTCACTTATATTAGCCGAGTAATTAAATCTAAATCTTTTAAATTCAAAAGGACTTTACCAGACGAAGAATATTGTATCCCATGATCATAATGTAGATTGGCGATACGCGATTATGGAGCATTCTGGTGCTGCGAACGAACTCGCAGTGCGTTTTTTTTTTGTTGCTATCTTTCAATCTTCAGGTTCAACTCAGTCAGAAAAATGCAACAACTACTCAAATCAGATAAAAAAATACGTTGCGAACTCAATAGAGTAACGTATCGGTGAAGTGAAACGCTCCCAGTTTGTTTGTTTATATAATTATATTTATATATGATTTTCTTAATTCTATTCTGGATGTCGAGTGCGCAATAATCAGTCACAGTCTCCTATCGCATTCCAATGTGTAATCTGAAATTCATTTATAATTGGTTATTTACTGGAAAATAAGAAGGAAATTTCGCACGTTCCGAGCTAAGAACTGAACGAACAGTAGAATTAGCTGGAAAAAAATCGAAAATGAAGGGAAGATTCTGCTTAACAAAAAAAGCTTGAAGTATAAAAATTTTACGAAAAAGAAACATATGCAGATTTCATCACTCAACTGTAAGGCCACTTTTTAGCATGAATTCATTCCTGTCTAAAGCTATTACTGAGCTAACTTTATTTATAAATATTCATAGAACAGCTGGCAATTAACGATTTTCTCGACTCATCGTAACGATAGAAAGATCTGTGCTAATGCAATAAACCAATGACTGGCTCCACTCTTCCAGTTTTGCAGAGCTCTTCTTTCCTAATCCAGGAAGAATTAAAGTACTTTCAGGCTTTTTAATTTGATCAAAATGTGGACAAAACCGATGTGTTTTGAAGCTCATCAAATAAAATTTTTGTGGAAAGTTTTCAAAACCATTTCGAATCTCTCAATATTTACTAATCAACCATGTTTTCTCTGTGTGTAACTTATGCGCAGGATATATTCTTTCGTCGCAGAGAAGAGCTGTAAAACACTTAACATTTGAATACGATGCAAACGAAATATTCCTTAAACTCTTCGCGTCACAAGCCTATCGTGGAAATCTCATAATAGTAAGATCATATGGAAATTTCGTACAAAGCAGTCGAGGGAAAAATCAGAAAATTAACCGGAGTTAGGATGAAACTGGACTTAATAAAAAAGAAAGGATTTCCTTTCCCTCTATCAGAGATTCGAAGAGCTGAAAGAATTGTCCATCGATATGATGCAAAAAGGCTAGTGGGTAATGATAAAAACTACAGTAAGGCTGTATTTGACAAGCTAGTCAGAATAGATAAGCTAATCAGAATAGATAAGGTAGTCAGAATGGCTACGTTAGTCAAAATGTATGGTGCTATCAAGGGTGTGCTCCCCAAATTTCATCCTGAAATCTTACAGTTACCAATGGAATTCGATGGAATATGATTGAACATTACAAATTAGTTAGAACAATTCCATAAAAAATTTAAAATTTGTGCAACAACTAGGAGCGAGAAGGCAACGGCATATGCAAAAGAGGTATAATTTTTCTACCTCATTTTTTTAATTTGAAACACGTCAAATTCTTCAAGAATTAAAGAAATCTCGAAGAGGTATTTTTACAATTTAATTTTCGCAAGATGGAAATTTAAAAACTTTGATCAAAGACGATGAAATTTTTTAGAACAGATAAAATGCGCAAAAACTGAAATAAGTATTAATATAAACTCTATCACTGTGGAATTATGACTGCACTAAATGACCAGTCTATCAAATACTGCTGGTATAACACTAAACTAATCCATTCTGCTTCCTCGCCTCCTGAACATCGGCTATTCTCGGCCTGCTATATCCCGAGAAAGGGCGCAGCAGCATTTCACGATAATATTTTTGCGATAATATTAAGTTTCATGCGCATGGATATTTTTATTGTAAGTTATCGGAAGAATTTCGGGGAACCGAGCGGAAGGGGATAATTTGTACGGTGAACATCAAAATTGACGAAGAAATTGGAGTGACAAGGGGAGGAGTTAGTAATTGAGCGAGAATGAATTTGAAACTTATGTGGATACTACTGTGTCCTGGTGTCACCCTAAATCATCTCAAATGGAAAATATGATGACTTGATAACTAAGGATTTGATAAGACTGATGATAAAATCTGAAAGCAATTACGCTTAGTGAACCAATGGAAACATCGAGTGATTTAGGAAGTCAGAAAAGGATAACTTGATAATAAGTAAATATGCCACCCTATCAGAGGAGAGGTACAGGATAGTGTGGCATAGTGCCCCACGCATACGTACTTGCCCATCTCCAGGATTGTTCACCAATAATACATGCACGCCACGCCTTCGGGGAGATACCGACCGCCTCTGTGACAGGAAATGTAAACGTAAAGAGGGGGCGGTGGAGAGAGAGGAGGGGAAAGAGGCGTTCATACTGTGTTCGCACTCAGGGCAAAACGACAGATGGCCATTGAGAGCCATTCTTCTTCCTTCCCTCCCTTAACAAACCTGAAATCTGTTTAACACCTTAACGCTGCAACTGAATAAGCAGAAACGCTTCCAGGTCATACTGATATTGAAACGACGCTCGAACTCTATCTTTCCTCTCTCCCTTTCTCTCCTTTTCCTCCTCTCTCTCTACGTATCACAGATGATCATATTTTTGCCTTCCCATCATGATGATCGACCAACGTATATCGTTAAGTTCCTTATAAAAAAAGTGGTGCAAAACGTTTAATTATCCCATTTTCCCTTAAGTTTTATGCTAAGAGTTTTTAAATTTGTTGCATAGTTTAAGTTTAATTTGAAAAAGAAACAAATTAGAGATGCAAGAATCTAATCGACAACCATCATTACCACAGATACTAGAAATATGAAAGGATACCTATAAGGATAGATCGAAGAGACAGTTTGCTATCATTCCTGAAATTAGAATTTTCTGGCATATTAGCAACAGATCATGGAATAAGGAGAGTACTGGTCAAAAAGCAAAGATCAAACTAGCTTGATTTTGAAAAGCAAATTGGATAGAATTTGAAAATTCGAGGATTCCATATTTTCTGTGCATAGTTTTAGCAGCGAGGTTTGGTTTCGGATCACAATTCCTGAACTATGCATTTCTCAGAATTTAGTAAGTGATTCAAAAGCCTTACTCATATAGAAGAAAGGTCTTATTCAACTGAAATTCAATTGCTTAGCTTTTCATCTTTAGGGAGATATTATAGGGAGGGTCATACTTACAAGTGAGCAATAACAGAAGTCGGAAAGATCAAAGACAAGCAGTCGATTTGATTAAGATGACTTAATCAATGATATCGATATTTCACTCTTCATCCGTGTCAAATTGAAGCAGATCAGTGACTGATACTTCATTGGACTCCTCCTATCTTATTTTCTCATCATTAAGTTTTCCACCAGATTCTTTCTCATTTACACGATACCGATGTATCGATGGTCGATGGTTAGCTCAAATGTAACGAACTGAGAATTGAGCTCGTGGTGGCTCATAAATTTGTTCCTATTCAATCGTTCTCTTTTTGTCTTTAATTGTCTCATTGATCCATTTATTTGATATCACCGAACTTAATTGTTAGCCGCCTATTAACCAGTTAAATGAACTGTCTCATATCATATCACTTCGCAATTCATTATCATGCATGTAAAGCCAGTAAGACGAAAGACTAATTTTACATCATAATCAACCATTGATATTTAAAACTAACACTTTCTCAAATCGTAATGATTATTTTGGTGCCTCCTCAAAGTTTCGGAGAAATTAAAAAATAAACTAAGTATTGGTGTGATCCAATTTCAGAATTGCAACATATAAAAGAAAATTGCTCTAATATTCAAAATTCCTCTAAAAAAAATTTTTTGCTCCTTTATGCGACGTTTTGGCGCAATAGAATTATGCAACTTCAAAAGAAAAACCGCACGCAGTATCTGCTCACCAGATTAGCGTATCCGCTATATTCAATCGCAGTTTAAAACTGCGATTGAAGTCTGCAAGATCAACTGCAATTAAGTTGACAGAATTAAGTACCGCTAAATAGGATGTGACCGTGACCCGTGTGGGGAAATTCGAAGGCATTTCATCATGTGCAATTCATTTCATTTGCTTAATGGTCATTGTTTTCAACATTTTTAAAAGGTTCTTTAGAATAATAAAGCAATCAAGCGCTTTTGAAGGTCATTTCTGGTACAAACTATGAAAAAACAATAGAATTAGGAACACGTTGTAGGAATATATTCGACGTATTATGTCTTCTTGAAGAAATCGGTAATCCTTGATTAATCATCAATATTCAGCGTTGCTAATATATGTGTTACGAAGGCTGATTCTCAATTATTTAAATTAAATTGAGAAAGGAGCTCAAAATTCTGGTATAACCATACAATTGTTAGGATCGATAGCAGCACATTGAGCAGAACGCATCTTCATGCCAATACTAATTGAGTTAATTACAGTGACCCAACTGCAAACTTGCATAATTGAATGAAATTAATGACTCTGTAGGACTACATTAATCATTGGACAATTTTTTTTAGCAATTCATATAAAAAAAATCCAAAAGTGGATGGTTATTGAAGCTTTTGGAGTACTGACGGTGAGTTAATTTCTATATTTTCATTTGTAGCTAAATTGGATGTATAAAAAACGAACCTTCGACTGAATAAGACTATAAATGAAACAATATGGCAATTCAACCTTAATTATATCATCAACCACACTGTTTTAATCTATTTTATGTGTCCAAGTAATCTCCTTGATATCACTACACTTCAGCTAATTTCCTTACTTCCAAGGATTTTAACTTTCTTAAAAAAACTTCAGGTGGAGCGTAACGTCACCTGACCAAGCAGTAATAGAAGCTTATTCTTCATTATTTGGTGAAAAAAAAAACTTGGAATATGTCGTTTAACGACCTGAAATGTATCCTTTAACATGCGCCAGAAGATGCACGAAGATATTTAAATTTTCAAGAATCTTCCCCGAAATCCAATCGCTTAAAAATTCAATCGTTTTTAAAGCAGTGCTTGTGATATATGATGAAGTAGTAAGTGACAATTGAAATAATAATAAATAATTATTTTTAAAATTGTGAATTAAAATTCCTACTTCCTACAAAAATTATTAATTAGAATTCCTATATTAGAATGTAATTCAAAGGTAAATGTCAAATTTATTTTAGAAGGAGTAAAAAACTTAGTAACGAATTGTGTTTTAGAGTAGCTCTGAAATGAAACTGCCATGTTTTAGATTCATTTAAAAATAACAATCTCTGGAAGAAATTAATAAACTTCAGTGACCGTTTTGTTTGGTACCATGTACCAAACAAAACGGTCACTAAACTTTATGCGACATTTAAACATTTTGCAGCATTTTACTTCATATCGATTGTTTTTCTCAAGTCTTTTCTTAAATAAATCAAAGAGATGTCAACAAAAAAAAGTTTTTTGAGACATTTTTGGGGAGGATATTGACGAAATGTGCTTTTGAAAACCTTTGTACAACTACTACTTAAATAAAATTCAACTTATTAGATTAAAAAGAAGTTAGCGGACGCATCTGGCATTTTAGTGGTCAACTCTAAGGAGAAGAGAAGGCATCGATATATAATTTATAACTTGCCGATCAGGACAATTTCAGTATCCCCAATTTCATCGCTATGTAAGTAAAAAATAGTATGTGATAATACAAATAAACGTCGATAAATAACAAAGAGGCAATACAATTTTATGAGGCTTGCCATAGTGTTTCAGAATTTTTGGCCTAACGCACGTGAGAAAATCGTGAAAGTTGTTGATGGCAGCTTTTACTTACAATCATAATAATCATCTGATTCATTTGAACGATTTTTTTGAATTTGAAAAATAAAGCAAGAGGACAGATGCTTGAAAAATTGAATGCCAAAAATTAATTCAAATCAACAGCGAATACAAATAAGAACTTCAAAAATTAAAAAAATATAAATGAATTTGATTAGTTTGATCGGCATGTAAAGCTGACCATAGTAAAGATGTTGCATTGAAAAATTTTGCATATCTTAGAAGATTATTGTGTCCTTCCTCAATTAATCTTATTTTTTTCGGGAAAAAAAATTAACCTTCTGAAATTGCATTCATTATAAAACCAGGAAAATGTGACAGTGAAAAAGACCAGCACTTCAATAATGATTACCATATACACTTGGATCAAATCACTTGAAGTTAAAGCCTTTACATAAAAATATTTGCAGGTAATTTCAAAATCCAAACAAAAAAATCTAAAGGCTTGATTCCAAAGAACAAAAAAAACGATATAACTGTGATAAAATAAGTAAGTGTCTCAATATTGGGAATAGGAATAAGTAACTTAAAAGTGAAGTTTATTAGATCGAGAATAAAGTGGCCATGGAAAAACATGATCGATGTATTGATCGACGGACAATCTCTTAATTATTGATGGTGATTTATGCTGTTCTTAATGTCATCCATTATTCCATACCCCTAATATTAAATAACTTAATGCTGTGCCTATCAAAATTTTCCTAATGTTCATCATTCGAATAGTCCTTATCAGTTTCTATCATTCGGATAGTCCTAATCAATGTTCATCACTCAGATTTCATTTTTTTTTTATTTTAATGAATTTTAGCAACATTTGCTGTCAATGATGAAAGCTTTACTTTTTGCAAAGGTGGCATGTTGTCATACAGAAATCTGACAACGTTCGTAAAAAAGATTTATAGATTTCGAAAAAAGTCTTCGCATGTCATGCAAATAAATACTTTTCATTTATCAATGAAATCTTCAAAAAAATAAAAATAAACTAAAATTCTTACGAAAAATGAAATGTTTTGCGTTGCAATCTTTTTTCCTGATATATATATTTTTTTCTTACTTGAAGGTCTTTGCATCTCAGCACATATTAGAGAGTTGGAATAATTAAGGACTGGTGCTGAAATTGATAGAGCAATTAATTTGGGGTGAAAAAAAACAACAAGACACATGTGAAACAAATTACCGGATTTTTTTGGAAAGGTGAATGCTTAAATGTGATTAAATGATGCAACATGGGGTTGATGAAGTGGTATGGAATGAGAAGCTATGTGGGAGGTATGGACACGTTCTTTGAAGTGCTAGATTTATGGGCTCCAATTTCAAAATTCAATTCGTTGGCTACTTAAAAGCTACTTTCAACCTAAAACAATTGAAATTATCTTTGCCTACCTACACAAACATCTAAGCACCGATCCCATTGGCTTCCGGAATAGATCCATTAAATTGAAGCTAAATATCTTCTAAAGAACTTGAAACCACATAATCATTCCCTCTACTGCATTTACAACACATCTTCAGTTTATCACTTAACAATTTTCTGGTAATTTTTTTTCTCCAAACCAATGACTGGACCGAAATTAATAACTAAGAAAAACATACACAAAAGAATAGAGAATTGTGACAGGAAAAAGTAGGCAATGAACATTAAATTTTTCTTTTCGGAATTTAATTCTCAGAGTGCTCTAAAAATAAAACTCCTATTTGTTTTCGTTTTAACTTTTAAGTTAACTATTAGAAATAAGAATGTAAAATTCAAAAAGCGTAAATAAATTAGGCTTAATAGTGAAAGTTTATTGAGTAGATCCCATATGAAATTCATCTTTACACGAAATAAATCTTAGTATTTGACGGGAGCTAAGATAGCAATCAAGCTGAAACGTATTCACCTCATCTTAAGGGATTCGGCTAATCCACTTCTTTGCAATAAAAAATTTGATAATTTGAAGACGAAGGAAGTTTCACGAGTTATTCATTGAAACCATTTATTTTATGTTCCATTAAAAATGAAATTTTCGATGTAACCTATGGATGTAACAAATTCATTTTCTTTAAATATGATACATCTGTGGAATGTTTATTTTGCTGTGATCATCTAAAATGAGATTTGTCACTTTCAAAGCAAGAATAATGAGTCAAAGAATAGTAAAAATCTCAGATAACAGATCACTAATAAGTATTAAATGTCAAAGGATAGAATGAAAATTTCCTCGAAATTAATAAAAATGTGTCATCAGCATCAGAATATTTAATTTCGCTCAGCGATCGATATATTCATGAACTTTTCGATGAAGGGATTAAATTATCTTGTTAAATTTTGATTTGATAGTGGAAAAAAAGCAACCATCGAAAGGTTTACTCCAAATGCTGAATTAGAGCATTGAATTGCTTTTTCAATTATGCAACAAAGTTGTGAAGTTTCAAAACACCTTTCCATTTTGATTTAAAAAAATCAAAGAACATGCTGAATTTCAGTGATTAAATTAAATTCAAATAGCATTTGAAATAGTGAGAAATGGGCCTTAAAAGTTTAAGACTGAAAATTTTCGAACAGTGTGGAAAACGATCTATCGTTATAAGAATTTTATGGAGATGTATTCTTCTCAAAGGTAATAATGATTGAGGACGATTGGAAAAAAGTAATTATACCTGAAATGAGATTGAACGAAGTGGAGAGCGGAAGATATACGTCAGTGAAAATTGTGCCAGATTATATTTTCATCAATCGACATTTTCTTTTTTTTTTTTGAACAAAAAGACGATGAAATTTAAGTGCATAAAAATGAATTCATCAGCTGATGATTATTTGACCGATAGCCATAACTGTAAAGATAATGACACAATGATAGTAAGGGATGTAAATAAAAACGCTAGTGACAGATAATTAATTAGAATTAGATTATGATTGGGCCGATCATAACAAATGGCAGCTAATGATTTTGTTGTTATTGCAAGCTAAATAAACAAAAGAACAAATAAAATGCTTAGGGAAGTACAAGGTTATCTACAAGATTTATATTAGAGCGGAGTTTTATTTAAGAGAATAAGAGAGGGAAGAAATTTAGAAGTGGATAGCTGATTACGTCCTTCGATATTTGATAACAACCCTCTGTCCCTCACTTCCGTGATCAAAAAAGTAGTCCGACTCCTAAAGAACTTTGTCCTCTATAGAAAAGATCTCTCCTTTTTGTGAAGGGAAGTTCGAGGAAGAAGTGTGCTCTGCCCCTCTCATCTCTATTATGATGCTTTTTAACTTTTATAATTCATTTTAAATTGATTATAAATACTGCTGTTTATTTTATAAGGGTCATCACGCGTCCTCTTTCTTCATCCCAATCTCATTAACAATCGAGCAATGACACCTGTCAATCCAGTACTTTAACCTTATTTTTACATGAATAATTCCCCTCAGTCTAACTTCATTATCAATTTTTCCATCCTACGATACGATATTCTTCCTTCACAACTTATTTCATTTCCCTATCATCATTTGCAGTTTTTTTTTTGTTATTAATATTAAAGTAAATTCCAAACTGAAAAACATCTTAGCTTTTATAGGGTGAAACTGTTGCTTGGACACCATCCTTGATGATATCGGAATGTTTCGAGGTGAATTCCTGATCTGCTCTTGGAATTTCTTAAGATTTGAAGGAAGGCAAAATTTATCGATCGATTTCGCTCAGGACAAATAAGAAACGGAGATGGTAGATTAAAATTACACATTTTATAGGTGTATAGAATTAGGATCAATAACTTCAGAGATATCTATGTAAAGTGCTTTAGAAAGTATTCACGTAAACAAGCGTATAAATCAAACCAATCAGCTAAATGCCTTTTAGCTATCGGTGCAATTCTGTCACAACTTCAGCATATCGCGAAGTACTATCGCTGTTCTTTCAAGGTATGCAAGACAATTTTTGTTAATTTGAAAAGCCATAAGGATAACAAAGGTGAACAGTAAGGTATGCTTAAGATACAATCTAATTCTGTCTTCCCTCTTCTTGAGATAAACGAAATTGTTTGCAACAAATATGGTATTTACATTGCAAATTTGTCAGTATGAAAAATGAAAGGAGAAAGAGGAGGAAAGGGAACAGAAGGAATAGGTAGATATGGATCGGATTGCTAGGAGGAGAGTTATGATCAAATAGTAGAAAGAGACAAAAAATATCGGTGTTTTGTGGACGGCGGCTTGGGAAAGCGATCATTTCTGCGCGTACACACTAACGAAATATTTAACTGATCCGAACTATCTTTTTTGGAATTTGGTGGGTACTGCTGGTTGTATTTGTATATACTATCATCTCTTATTTCTTCTGATTAAAAATTCAATTTCGATGAAAGTTACATTTGCTAGTACTTGGTATTTCAACAAGATTAGCTCAAATTTTAAATAATACGCCCTGAAGTTCTCAGCAAAATCTGTATAGCATTGATCTATTTGGGAAAAAAAAATCAAATCATGTTATCAGCGGAGTATAACAGAATTCCATGAATTGAGTGGCTGATTAGTTCAGTGCTGCAAAAATCGTCGTATGATTTCAAATATGCTTTGCCACAAATTTCCAAATTCAAAAATTCGAACTGCATATTTTCTATTTTCTATTCATTCAAATGACGACGAATCTTATAAAGGTAAGCAACAGTCGGGTGAAGAGGAACAAGAAGGCATCAATCATGCATTGTTCAAAAGTAATTTTGAGCAAAGATTACGGCAGTGTTGACCTTTTCTGAATCGAAAGACATTAATTTTGGAAATTTCACCTCTGTTTTCATTTGTGAAGAGAATAATTTTGAAATTGTTGAAAAAGCAAATGAATTAGCAATCAAGGAGGAGAAATGAGTTGAAGAGGAACTTGCTTAATCGATGAAACCTTAAACTTCAAACTGTGGATAATAAATTTTGGCTGTTAAAATGACAACATTAAATCAGTGCATTCTATTTTGTAGTAAGCCGCCTGAAGTGAGTGCAGATTTGATTCATTGATGAATTGCTGAATTATTCACTAAACGACTTTAATGTTTCGAAAAATCCAGAGAAGTGAAATCAAGTAAATGTGTTGCATTTCATCACTTTTATAAAAGCTTAAGGTTTCAAGACATTTCAGTAGCTAATAATTCGAATCTCAAAAATTAGGAGAAAAGTTTATCACAGGAACAGAGCTCAACATAAAGCAACCATTTGACCAGATGGTAGGTAGGTCAGGTTTAAGTTAGTTTAACTTTAAGGTATTTCTTTTCTTATTCCGGCCCAAACACCAATGCAAACAAATTATGTTCTTAAACAGTTATTTTATAATACTTTCTTCAAAACTTGCTTGAGCCTTAAATTTCAAGAAATAAATGAGTTGTAATTGAGAATTTGAAAAAATTTAACTGAAGAATTTCTCACTTTAAATTATTTGTAACATTTCAGTTAATCTTGTTTCAAAAAATCTTCCCTTACTTTTCTTATTCATACTGTATTACTTTCAATAAGTTCAAATTTTTTTCAATATTATGAGAAATTTGTTAAAGTTAGTTTTGTTATCTGTTGAAAATATCGATGAAAATATTATAATAAAAAGCACAGCTGTGTGTTTCAGATATTAATTTTCATTCTCGCCAAATTTGCATAACAATGATTTTACAGTGAGTGGTTTTTAAAATATGAAATGAATGCTTTGTTGTTTTTGAATAATTATGAAAAAAAACCATTTATTTTCCACGGAAAATGCTGAAAATATACTACATTTGTATACAAAACCATTCTTGGATGGAAATCGTTGCATATGGTATTTTGTCCATTATAAGGGCTTTGATAGCGAATAGAATGGAAAACATTTGAAATTTACTCAGAAAATTTAATTCACTTCTTCCTCCAGCTGGGCAAAGAGAAATAACCGAAGCTGCTTGCAAGCTTCAAAGTTTTTCACTTAAATAAAATATGACAATTTGATCAAAAAAAATCACATAAGTGACAATCTACCGGAAGTAACGGAAGAAAAATAAAACTTGGATAACAAAAAGAAAAAAATCAGTCAACAAACAAAAGTAAACCCTTTCTAAAAGTTAAATACGATTTACTAGTTTATGCGAATTTAATTCTTTTATACGACTTTCTCTGGTATATCCAGAAAAATTCGCCGGTCGGAACTGATGGCGATCATTCATAAGCAAAAAGCAATTGATGATGATGGAGTGTTTGAAATATAAATGAATTATTTAATGTATTCGAGACATCGTACGACTTCGATATTTCGATTCGTCTGTTGGAAGAGTTTTTTCGCGCACAAACGTTTACTGTATATTTGCTTTAAAATAATAAATTTAAGAGATTGCTTCCGGTATGAGTGACCCATTAAAAAAATTTCAATTGTTATTCCTGGACATGCTTTTCGGTTTTTATTAATAGCGATCAATTAAGACGGATAGCGTGGATGCATAATACAAAAAAAATGCTAGGATAGTGATAACTTCATCAATATGCCATATAGTCAGTCTATGTGGCATGTGCAATCGAACAACCCTCCCAGGTAACAAACAATATACACATTTTCCGCTCGGAAGCATTCAGAAAACAGCTAACGATATTGGCTCTGAATGACTTTGGGGTACGACTATGCATGCAAGCATGCATCCATGCATGCGTCTATATACATATTGTTCATTGCTACAAGTATGCACTAGGCACATCCGTCTTATCTTATGCTGCATCTAATTAGTCAGACAAAAAAGACACATTTCCTTTGCGTACAGCATGGGGTGACAGGTAAGAAAAATGTGAGAAGGAAATGATTTTGCATCATTCTTTCTAAGTTTTTTAATGTAATTCACAACATTTTATTTATAATATGGGTTAAAATAATTTACTCTCAATTTCTGTTGAGTTAAAAACCTGGCCTGTATGAAGTATTAAAATGTCAACTTCCTCTTGTTTATTCAAGTAAATGATGTTTTATGGAAGCATTTCATCGTAAGAGTGAAAAATTGAACTGCATCAATTGTTTTTGCTTCAAACTCTTCGGAATTTTTTTAGATTGTTTAAGAATATGTTGAGGAAGTTGACTGGTAAAACAAATTTGGAAATGGATTGGGTATCGAAACATATTTTGAGTTGTAGGAGAGGGGAAGATGTCATATTAGCAAAATGTATGACGAATGTTTCGGCGAGAAGCATTTGGGTACATTTATGCTTTCAATCTTTCTAAAAAATAGCATGTTGTGGCGTTTCATTTATTCAAAAAACGAGCCTATAAGACAAATTGCAAAGCTTTTCTGAAAAATATTTCATACCAGAAAACTTCCCATGCATTTTTTACCTTCCAAAAAAAGCAGGCGTAAAAAGCGCAAAAGCTAATAAGGCATTCTACAGTGAATCACGGCACCATCTGTAACTTCTTTTATATGCAAATGAAGAAAAAATCAAAATGGATCTTATTGCAATCACGAAATTCTTCCGGAACTTCGCTTCATAAAAAAAAGAAAGAGGGATAGGAAAACTTTTGCCGCTATCAACAAAAAACAATAAGGGAGTACCTCAGGAGAGAATAATGTTGACAAGATTTTCCCCAGTAAATTTAACAAAATGGTTGAAAATTGTCTTGTTTCATGAATAAGGATGTTCATAGTAACGCTGTGCGATAACTGAATGTTACTTGGAAGAACGTAATAACTTCCAAATGTCTAAGTTGGCAGTTGATCACAGTATTACTTAGCGTAGATATCCCTTTATCGAAGGGACAAAATCAAACATTTTCCGGTTTTTTCCACTGTTCGGATCAATGCAGCCACTTCTCTGTTTCAAGTTTTCGTGTACCCTTAATTTACTGTTTCCAGTCTACCATAATTTTTAACTGTTAATAAGATTTTTTTTTATTTGAATTCCAGGTTAGACAGGAAAGACCGCAAGAAGGAATGGAGTGAATTGGTTTTTCTGTTGATCGAAGTGTTGATTCTGAAGATATATGAATAATGAATCGTTTTCTTATAGAAAAGAAAATGAAACGCAGTCATTCTGCAAGTTTATTCAATTTGAACAAAGCACAATTGTGATACTGAACTTGATGGATACGTGTATCACGTGAAAAGAGTGAAAGTAACAGCGATAACCAAAAGAATTTCGAATCTTTTAGTGTCACCTTCATAGCAAAATAAAAAGAAAAGGAGGGGTGATTCTTAATAAAGATGTGAACCTCAGAAAGTCACCAAAGTCGGCAAAGATACTATTCATAAAAGAGAAGCGAACTCACGCGGTACCCACTACTCCATTTCTCTCTTTTTCACTTGCTTTTACGGTACCTTCGCCCATCTAATACACATTTTGCCGATAATGGTATGGCCGAACTTTTTTTTTCGACCGCCTTTTTCTATTTTTAAGAAATAAGTGAGAACAATTGACAATCTTTTACATCTCCTTTTTATTCAAGCAAGCGGTTAAAGTTCGTCACATCAATTCCTGATCACCTGCTTTTCAGTCATAAACCGGAAAAACTCATTACATTAAACATCCAACCTTGTTGTCACCAAATGATTCGCCCCAGTGAAGTTGACTGAGGCTTTTGCTATGAAATTCTCCTTTTCAGTTCCATGTCAACATTATTGCATTTATACCGCAAGTTGAGTTTTTAAAGCTCCAATGGACGAATATGTGAGGTGGAATAAAGATACAATCTTAAATTCATATTTGACATCTCGAAAAATCCAATTGACTACCTGACGGAAACATTTCCACATGCGGCAACTTTTTTTTTTTTAATTGAACGTTTCGCGGAAATAATTTATAAAAGAAAGAAATTATTGCGGAAGGTAGACAATGGCAAACCGGAAATTAAATTTCTTATTTCTTGAAAACACAATCAATAAAACTTGCCCTCGAAAATGAAAAAAAAGGAAATTTGCATATTAAAATGAAGTTATTCTCAGTGCAAATAATCATTTCTTTAATAGAAAGATATTTATGATAATTATTAAAATATTGCAGTTAATAGACGATTAAAAATTACAAATTCATTTCTTTTCGGAAAAATCACTGCTACAAAGAAATGATCTTATGTTCTATGTTATTTTAAACAAAAATAAAAAAAATCAATAGGATGTGTTTTACTTAATCTAAAAATTGATATAATGAATTTATATGAGGGATGTAACAAAAAGTCCTAGAAATAATTAAGCAAAAATTGATTACAAACATACATTACCTGTCATCACAAAAGTATTCGAGATAAAGAAATATGGCAGTTAATAGCAAGAAGGTCGCGAAGTATAATGTCATGAAATTAACAAAACAAATAGATGAAATTTAAATATGGATATAAGTGTTATCATCATCCATCCACGAATTTCTTGAAAAAATTTAGGAAAATCAAATTACTCGTTGAAATGTTGTTGAAAAGTAATTGTATGATAGGTTGTAACATCAGAAAAATACCCTAAACCTTCTGTTAATTCATCCTGGCCAGAAAAATATTTAGCTGAAAACATCAACCCCAATTGTTCATTAATGTAAGATTATATTTTCGCATTAAAAATAGATCATTTTTTACTCAGGAACAACGATCTTAGTATTTTTTCAAAATATCGATGTCTCGGGATTTTTAGCAAAAAATTTTGTCGTTATTTATCATTATTACATTATTTTGCAAAACTGAAACATTTATCCAAATGTATCCATCAGAAATCCTACGACTTATCACTGGAAGAGGGCAAATTTTGGAGCACCGATTCTTGTTGAATGGTTGTAGAATGTCGCAATGCGCATGAAATGCCGTGCATTACTGTATTGGGCAATACTGGGATTTCATCAAAATGAACTTTTGGAGGAATATTCACTTGAAATTCACCTACAATTACAAAAGTTTCGTAGTGTGAAGGAAAGCACAATTAATTGCTTGAAAGCAAATAATAATTTTTAGCAGAAAAATTTGCATCAGCAAAAAAGATCGCACTTTTTCACAGATCTGAAATATTTATCCACATTTATGCATCAGAAATCCTTCGCAATATGTTTATTAAATTACTTTTTCAACTAAATATATACTAAAATACGGTGACAAATGGTGACAATGATATCAACTTACAACATTGGCTTATTTCACACTTTTATAAGCTCATTATTCCATGCCATAACTTTGTACCACGTAATTGTTTTTGAGTATAGCCAGTTTAGATCAATAAATGGTGAGAAAAGGAAGAAATGAATTTACCTGGGGCATTTGAATTGCCGGAAGGACGGTACATTGCGACGGTAGCAACGCAATTAGTGGTGGTATTCCACTGTCGGGCGATGCCCATTTCAGACGTTTCCTTCCAAACAATTTGCGTGAAATGTTGCGTTTCTGAAAAAGCTTCAAAGAGACTGCGAAAATGCAAAAAAGGTAGAAAAATTTGTAGTATGAATTGAAAATTTGACACGAATAGATTTGCCATAAATTGATTGAATAACTGAATGATTCGTTCAATTAGTCATTTACTTACAAAATTTCTGGTCTACACCAAAAAACTGGAAATCCGAAATGTTATAGGTATGGTTTTAAATCAGGAAAGTAGCAGATTTTGGATTCTCGGCTTTTTAGAAAGCTTATTCAAGTTAACTCCACTTTCTTTGCTCTCCAATTATAAAATTTGTAAGTGATATCCTTTTTATTACTCTTTAAAACAGTTCACCAAAGTTTTATCACCAACTTTCAAAGGTAAATATCCCTGTTTGAAAGCATTCCGGCTAATGGTAAATCCACAGTTAGTCGCTTTCCGGTAAAATTGTCCAGTCTTTTTAGTCCAACTGCTTATTTTGAGAATGCGTAGCACTTGGCTCTTCCGGTAACCTACAAATTTGAAGCACCGCTGGTAAATGATTTCACCGGAGTGTGCCAGCAACAACGATTTGCTTCATTGTAGAAACGCTGTGCAAAAATCCTTGACAAATCGTTCGGAGATAAAGGAATTGAATATTATACTGTGTAGAAGCTTTAACCAACTTCGGTGGGATCTTTGGTGACGTCGCAAACATTGCCGCACTGTATGCGGCAGTAAACATAGAACTTTTATGATGAATGATTACCGCAATCACCGTTAACCACTTGTTGTACATTCCAGCCGTATAGTGATAAAATGATTATCTTAAATTAAGCTTCCAAAAATCGCAAATTCTGCAGAAGTATGAAAAGCCGGTACAAAATTTTTTTGAAAGTTTTGAGAAATCCTCTTGCAATTTTATTGTCTTCAAATTTAAAGAACTTCGAACATCAATGAACTCACTGGGATTCCATCGAGGTCTCTCGAAATCGAAATCCTTTGCTTCGCGGGCCCAAATTTCAGTAATTTCGGCACCAGAAGGTAGATGAGTTTGTTCTTCTACTATTGTTAACCGTATGTTTTCGCCTATCCCTGATAACTACTTAGTTAATATTTGCTCCAAAATTATGAAATTGCTTGATTAATGTGTAATACCAAAACTCTCTCGAAAGGATTTCATTTACGAAAAAATTTAATTTAAATTACGTGAACTTCATTTTCTCCGCATTTCTTTGAGAAAAAAAGACATATTGTAATAAAATTCCCGAAATTATGATTCTGTTATTTCCAGTTTCTAGAAATGTCTTATAAATGACTATTACCAGTACTTTACCTTGCAATTCCGGAAATAATATCCGTCCTCGTTCAGCTAGTTTAACTGCCCAGGAATGAGCCAGATCACATAATTCCTGAGACCATATCAATGGTTGGCATCCATACTGTGCCCTCACAGCATTGTGTGCATCCAAGCATTCGCGTTGAAAATTCACTTCACCTATGCGAGTGGGATATTAGTTAGTTATCTAGTTGCTTTTTTTAAACTATCAACAATATAGTTAATACTTCTTCCCAAGTATCCTATCACTTACTTTATGATTTTTTGTAGCATAGTAACTGATATATTAGTGAAACCTTGTTCTAGCTAACCCTGACTTTATTACAAGGAGCTCACTCTTCACAAATAAGTTTTCAAGAGAATTAAATGGACTTTTACTACTTTGTAGTAAGTATCGTTAAAATGCAAATTTTCAATGCCAAAACTTACCAACGGCAACAAATTTGGGCATCTTTTTGACATATTTGACATCGGCAATGGTCTGCATCATGTGTTTATCCAACTCTTCGTCAAAATGGCGTTCTTCTCCTACTGATGATGATGTGGCGTCATAACAACTGTAGCATTCATCGGTAGTTATCGATTGCCTGAAATTTTGAATTTTTGTAAAATGTCCCACTTCCAGTAGATTGTAATCATGGAGAGCAAATGAATTTTAAAATACGTGATAAAAGATCTTAAACTGAAAAAAAAGGATTTTACTTGAAGCCAGTGGTTGTACGACAGAAAGTACCACTTGTTGCAAGAGTAGTTGTCCCATTGATGCAGTTTTCATCTATTCTTTCATGTTGATCAGATTTCGATTTTTTTAATTTCTTTCGACCGAAAATCTTTTTCATCACTACTGAAATGCGGGATATTTTGAATATCTAAATAACTACATAAAAAAGGTCTATTAGACGCATTATCAAATTATTTAAGATTTGTAAAATTTACAACAGATATGCTCTACAGGATCATACCGGAACCAGCGGACAAATGCAAATGAACACTAACAGATATTTCAAAAAAGACGAAAAATGCGGATATCGCGGAGCTTCCGATAGCAAGAAAATAAATACAAATATTTATATACAAACAATTGTCTTATGAATGTTAACTTGCATAGATGATTAACTGTATTACTCTGTTGATTTCAATGACTTCTCTTGCTATTCCCATCCTAATCCGAAATTTTAATTAAGAGAGATACAAGCGCAAAAGCAATTAAACTGCCAAAAATATTAACGCTCCAAACACTTCAGCCCTTTCCCTGTATAACATATAATGGATATAGTTATATGTTCATCAGATGGCTATTTTAATCATAAAATTACGGAGGCCTAAAAGTAGAAGTAAGAAACTATCCCTTTTGAACTTGTAGACGTGAATGATTTGTACATGACGCACCTTAGAATCAAATCATAAACATAGATTTGATGACCAATGTTGATAATACATTATAAAATAAGAAGTAATCCGAAAATTAGCATTTCGTATAACAATTAAACTTTTACGGTTGCCGTTAAGTTTGTTAAAGCTTGAGAAGGACAAGAAATGGGTCAACTTATTGAATGAGAAATATTCCAAAGCTTTTATTGAAAAGGCTGAAATTTGGTCTATAAATGTATAATTGTTCTAATATTTTGAAAATTCCTGAAGAAAAGAATGTAACAATGCTTCAGCTTAATATAACAATCTTTTTCAACTTGTATTAGCATCAAAAGGTTAAGAGATATTTTGTCTCTAAAAGGTCAGCAGATAATTTCTTTGTGTGGCGATTTTTTTTTTTTCTTTTAAAGTATATCCATCGCCGAATAGCGTGGAAGTATGAAAAGTATTTGAACAGTTTTTGGATAAATCATACTAAAAAAAATGGAAGAAAGTGTCTTTCCAACATCACTAACTTAACTTTATTTTAATATTTTATAACTCAAAACAAGCTTTTACTTCTTACTATTATCAGTAATTCAATCAACGAGTGAAGATTATGCGTCTGCATTAAGCAGATTGATGCTGCCAACTGCTTTTTATTGATAATTAAAAATCGTTTTGACATTTTCATTTGTAATAACACTAGCAGACTAATTTAACCTTCACCGTACTTCACTTGTTCAATTTATGACAGTAAAAATAAAGTGTGCGTAATATACTTTTCCAGAAGTGCCCGAAAAAAAGTGGATATATGTGGATGATGTAATTTCAAAGAAGAGACAGCTATTCTCGTGTCACCGCTCCCGTAGTCCTCATTTCATTTGCTATGATTGATGCATAAAACGAGAAAATAAAATCAGTGATTTCATGATATACTCTAAAGTAAGATTGAGAAGTGACATGTACAAATAGTAGGAACAAATCCAAAGGATTATTTTGATTTCGGAAAGGTGTTTACGGGAATAAGTGGTTCTAGATAAAAAATGAAAAGTTTCCGTACCTCGATCAACTATGCCTCACATTTGGACACAGATAAAGTTCCATATTTGAGGAATTTATGAAAAAACCCCATCTGTCAAACCCGAACACTTCATCCAGTTGGTCATTACCCTCGGATCAGCTAATGCAGAGTCAGAATAAATCGGGTAAGGCCTTTTTTAGAAAACAACAAATTCATGGAAATAATACGTGGTAAATAGTTTAAATCCAAAAAGTCCTTCGAAAAATTAAAATTCAAACAGTTTCATTTCGCGAATACATTATGGTTCCATAATTATGCATTGCTGAAGGAAATATAAAGAGTAAGTTGAAAATCAAAACTTTGTTTTTAAAATAAAATTTGAAAAAGTAATTTCGGTGATGAAAGAAACTGAAAAGGCATTCAGAAAATATTGCTACATTTGATGCATCACTAAACAAAAGGATGCATAGTTGTGAATAGCTTAAGAAATAAGAAACAGACTATAAGAAGGAGGAAATTTATGGGTCTCATTCGATAACAGCTGGGCCAGAAATGTGTAAAATAGAAAGAGCGGCTGAATGGAGTAAAGAAAAAAATAGAATAAATTGCCTCAACGGCTCTCTGGCCTTAATCTGACAGCAATTTTTCATCGTTTTCCTTTGAACAGTAAAGATCAAAGTGTGGAGTTGCCTTCCAAATTGTTCCTTCTCAAAAAAATAGTTTTTGTCATTTTTTTTGTTTTTTTTTTAATTGAATAAAATTGTGAAAAGTTTCTATGAAAAACAAACTTACTGATTTCATTCACAAAATTTTGATTTCACCTGCTCACATATTTCGTCTAAAAACTATCGGCAACACTTACTTTATCAATACATTTTGTTTTGGGCCTAAATAAGAATGTTCGACTCAACAACCTAAATAACTTTCATTACAGAATAATTCAAAAGCCCATTTCTGATGCAGTCTTATTCGAAATAATGCTAATTATCAATGATTTAAATGACAACAAAAGAAAAAACAAGAAATACTGAATGAGTAATGAGAGAAATATTTTATTATAGTTTATTTAACGAGATTAAGAAGGGAAGATTGGCCATGATAAACAGTGTCGCAGTGTCGTACGTCTTGTGTCTATTTTTGAAAAGGAGTATAAAGTTTGTGCTGATGTAGACAGAAATGAGTGTAATATAGACTTGGGCCATATTGGCTTATAGGCTTCATGTGCACCACTATGCCAAAATTATTGGTGCATTAAAATAGCGTCTGGCCATATGAATAGAGTTCTTTATTTAGCTTTAACCAAAAACTTCTAATCCCTTCTTCACACCGAATTTTGTTGGTTTGTTGGAATAGTCGCAAACTGATTATATGATTTGGATGAAAGATTGTAAACAATAATAATAGTTGGATAATAGAAAATGAAGCACGATGGATACATGGCACATTATCTGGAAATCCGACATCATCCGATCCATGATACCAAAAAAATGAAAAGTTAACACAGGTAATGTTTCGCCTTTATTGTACTTGCAGCGTACGGTAATGAAAAGAAAAGGTTCTGATACACTGAAATATAAAATATGTTCTATTTTGGTTAGATAGATAGACTGATTGGCATTATGAAAGTATCGATGATTCTCGTGAAACTTGTTAGTATGGAAATATTCTCATCTATCTCTGTACTACTCAAATATTATACAATTCGAAATGGTTGAAGTATTTTGTAGGTTCAGAAGTGTAGAAAAGAATTATTTAAATTATATTTCTATCTAACAGCGTCTCGTGATGTATATCTATCAGCCAAATCTCCTGCAGATCGATTTCGTTCAACAGATTTCGTTTCATTCTTGCTTCATGTAAGTATATAAATGTATGTGTTTGTCTGTGTGTGTGTGTGTGTGTATGTATTTGTGTGTGTATGTGTATGTGTGTATGTATGTGTGTGTGTATATACGCAGGAAGACTAATGTCATGTTAGGCGGGCTATGCAAAACAAAACTTTTGCATACAATTCAAGAATATTGTTTCAGAAAAAAAGAGAAGGACAGTGTCTGTGAGATGAAAAAAGTCTTGAAGTAATCTTGACGACCACAGCTACTTAAGTGTGCTAGGACAGAGCAGCAATGAAGATAGCATTGTTAACACTCTCAATAACAACTGCTACTATTAGTTCCGAGAGAGAGAGGGAGAGAGAGAGAGAGAGGAGGAAGAGT